GCTGACTGGCTGGCTGTCTGTCTGTCTTACTTTTTCCCAGCACTAAATGATCATTATTATGTCTGTCTTACTTTTTCCTAGCACTAAATGATAAATATTCTGTCGGTGTGCTTCTATTTACTCAATCAAACTAAACAAACCATGTTTTTGTATAATGGTCATTCTCTTTGTCATTGCACGGGCGAACAATGTGAGTTTGACTCCCGGGAGGGCGTAGTCTTTTTCATAGAGTTTTTGCCATGTAGCTGCTGAGATGTAACGCACAGTCTCCCTCTCAGCCCAGATTGACCCTGACAGTCAGGGATCGACACAGGCAGCCTGTCTCCTAAATATGTGAAGGGTTCTGACAAAATGAGTTACTTCTCGGCTTCGAGCCCAATGGAAATCGCTACATCACGCTTATTGGCGAAGTTTTTTTTTTACAATTTATAAGTATGAAATAATAAAAACATGATATTCTTAAAGAATATGTCATCAATAGAAAATCTACAAATTTGACCCAAGGGTCGATTTTTAACCCAATATCTCCATTTGCGGACAGCGAAAAGTAACTCATTTTGTCAGCACGCCTCACAATTGAGACGGCCTTGAACTTTGTTATGAACAAAACCTGAAGTAACAAAAAAGTACGAGGAAATCTTGTCACGTAGATTTTTGTGTATTGTGTTCACACATGCAAATCGTTTGATCTAATATGATTTAACCTGACGCAGTTAAGCTAGTTTTGCTCACAGTGATGCTTGGGTTTGTTGGGGTTTTATTTTACTTTCCAGACAATTTTATTATCAACATCACCATCATCATTATTATTATTACTAGATCTATTATTGTTGTTGTTGTTCTTTTGTTATAATAGTTATTAGCATGTGACATAGAAAGAGACGGTAGAGAAAAAAAGCCTCTCTTGGCTTAATACATACAGATTTTAAAAATAGGTCAGACAAGGTCTGTGTCCCGGTTTTATTACTGACGTATTACTGGAATTGGTGTTGGTAACAATTCATTTTTGGTATATTCTAAACTATTTGTATAGTACAAAATCCATCAGTCATGCAGCTGAATGGAGGTCACCACTGGTTGGTCCAAGTTCTTTATTTTCCCTCTCATATTTCTGTCTGTCTGTCTGTCTGTCTGTCTGTCTGTCTGTCTGTCTGTCTGTCTGTCTGTCTGTGTGTCTGTCTGTCTGTCTGTCTGTCTGTCTGTCTGTCTGTCTGTCTTACTTTTTCCCAGCACTAAATGATAAATATTCTGTCGGTGTGGTTCTCTTTACTCAAACTAAACAAACCAACTTTTGTGTATGAGTCATTCTCTTTGTCATTGCACGCGCGAACAATGTGAGTTTGACTCCCGGGAGGGCGTAGTCTTTTTCATAAAGTTTTTGCCATCTAGCTGCTGAGATGTAACGTACAGTCTCCCTCTCAGCCCAGATTGAGCCTGACAGTCAGGGATGAGTTACTTCTCGGATTCGAGCCCTATGGAAATCGCTACATCACGCTTATTGGCGAAGTTTTTTTGTTTGTTTTTTTACAATGTATAAGTATGAAATAATAAAAACATGATATTCTTGAAGAATATGTCATCAATAGAAAATCTACAAATTTGACCCAAGTGTCGATTTTTAACCCAATATCTCCTTTTGCGGACAGCGAGAAGTAACTCATTTTGTCAGCACGCCTCACATATTTTGGTAAATGTGTTGAGGGGGACTGGCGCTTTATAGCTTGAATGGAAAGGGGTAGCGAGACTCAAAAGACTAGATTTTTTACACAGTCAAAAAGTGTTACCTTTGTTTTGATCGCCAGTACATTCATCTTTCAGATTAGATAAACAACAAATCAGTTGCACAGGCTTAACTCTTCTCAGAGACGTCATATTAAGTACGGTGAAGGTCAAGAAATGTTGGCAGTGTTCAGTTCTAAGACTTTTATTCTGAACGATGGAATGTGCTTGACTGTCCAAAGAGTCTGTATTTTCTTTCCCATCGTTATCAGGCTGTTGGGGTTTTCCCCTACACTTTGTACCAGACGTTGACGGTAAGCATTGCGAAGGCACGTATTCTCTCAAGTCGCATTTCCTCAAAGAAAAATGAAGCGTAGAATCCAGCCGGGGTTGATCTACCCTGTCTGCTATAATGACACTAATAATACCCCTCCACCTCCTCCCCCCTCCCCTGTGGTCGCCCTTCTACTTTCTCCCTTCCACCACCC